AAAAACTGATATATATGTACATTAGAAATAATGGCTACATTGAATTTAACTTGATTGTTTGGCACTTTGATGTAGTGTACTGGTAAATTTCACGGACTACATATCGCAAAAGATAGCCCCTCAAAATAAATGGTAGAAAAATTTCTTCAAAATTGCCGCAAACCACCGAAGAAAAAAATTGTATCCTTAAACTCCGTCCTTTAGCTAACAAAATATTTAAAAAAATCTTCCTGCTCGTCATTGTTCCTTTCGTCGTAAGAAGGTAAGCAGAAATTGATATTTCACAAAAATAGTGCCCTATGGCTGACAAATTTGTCTATTTTCATATCAGAGTTTGGTGAATAATACATAGATATTATCTGCGGAGTAGTTAAGCTAAGAGATAAGGGGTTAATAACAATAATTATTTCATAAATTTTAAATCAAACATGCTCCAAAATATTTTCTACTTACTCTGGTGAATTTAAGTTAAGGCCTAACGTCGTGAGGTCACTAAAGAATAAGAAAAAACACAACTGTCAAGTAAACTCCGAGAAGATAACAGCTATGAAGTCGGAAACTGGGTAGCAGAGAACGCATGACTCTGTTGCACTTACCTCCCGAGCGCTAACGTCACAAGATTTGGTTCTGTTTCTGCAGCTCTAATGAATGTTAACAATCCTATCATTCCAAATTGATCCGTTACCATTCCTTTTGGAATGTTTGAGATCATACCTGAAATACAAAGGTAGAGTGGTAATAATAACATATACATGCGGTGTCTTTCGATTGAGCGTCCTAAACCCAAATTAAAGTAAACTCAAAGACCAATCAACACCAAGGCGGAGTCCATCAGAAACCTAACCTGGACTATTATGTTTTAGGAGAAGGATTAACCTTTGCCAAATGCTAATACAGGAAAATAAAACTGCCACTTGATAATTACCTGAAGGAGATGTCTGAATTCCTCTTGGTGGTTGCTTGTGATTTGTCGAATTCGCCTTTGCCTCTGCTGTCGCGAATCTTCGTCAGAAAAGTAAAAACTGTACATTAGCCTGTCTACTCTAGCTTTCAATGTCAAACATTTCGTTTCAGGCACATATTTTCAGAGGCATAAAACATTCTCGTAGTCTCTCCATACCACACCCGCCTTTTACAGTACCCCTCTACTGTCACGGAAACTAGGGTTATACTGATATCTCGAAGGCGTTGTGAGCGAACGAGATTTTGAAATTTCCTCCAGGTCTGAATGGGATTCGTGAGCAACTTGACTTGCGAATAAGGCAGCCTCCGAACTGGCTATAGTTTGGTGAAATCTTTAACAAGAAACTGATAAGTATGTCTCGAGATCAAAGAAACTCCTAACACCTCAGTGTTTGAAGAAAATGAGGGAGGGGGAGAAAACAACAGGCCTACAAGGTAGACTTTGACTTAGAGCCCTGACTGGACGATATCCCGAACTTGCACAGGACTGTTGCTCCGCCCTGGAGAGGAAATGGGTATTAATAAATAACAAGGGAAATGTGACGAGATGCTGAAGGGTAACCGGCAATAGACCCGTCACCTTCGTCACATCCTGGAGGAGTAGCAATACTCCTCGCCACTTTATTCTATCACTATGAACACTAGAATAGGCTACAGTGGCGAGGCCGCTTAGATCGTGAAGTAAGAAGGTCATTACCTGGCGTCTTTTGCAACATCTTTCAACGCTTGTTCATACGACGATCCGCCTCTAAGATCTAAGATTAGGAAATCAGCGAGGACAAATCAAGTTACTTCTCGTTTGAAAATATATAGGAAAAACTGTACATCTACTATTCGGGGTATTCCATGTAGGGAGCTCCAAAAGCATCCCTGCAGTCAAAAGGAGCCCTGACATCCCTGCTTTCATCAGGAACCTTGTGGATAAAAACCTGATGGAAATAAAGTAACAGTAACTAAGAAAACGCTACCTGTTCCAGGGAAAATGCTTGAGCTTGCGGTGATAACCTGCAATAGAAATTATACAATTCATCAACACACGAACACTAGAGCGTGCCATTTAACCAAGAGTCTACAGTGTACTTACTGATGGCTTGGAAGGATCCTGAGGAACAGAACTGTCCGTTTGGCTTTCTGTGAGTACAAACAGAAATTTTAATCCTTTCTAACCCTTTACACCCTAACATCAGTATTTTTATTCTCCATACTGTTTTCTGTACATTTACTAAGGTGCTAACAAGGAGAATTTGTCGAACAATCGAGAGTTTCTTTGGTCGGTGATCATTTCCTTTATTCCCATGACATTAATGTTAGATTCAGGGGTGATATTGTGAGGAGAAAATAGATGCTAGTCACTCTTAGAGGCTTCAGGGTTAAAAGGAATTGTAGTAATAACGTTGGAAAACTAATGAAGATTTTTTTTCGACAATCGATCACCCTTTCCAGTTAGAAAGGCGCCTCTTATTTCTCTCCCTCCTGGGGTCTCGAGTCTGAGTTCTAAAATCTGAGTTCTTAAAATCTCGCGCTACTTTCTTAACCAATCACAAGCTAAACTCAAAGAAATTGCACCTTGCCACGTATATACCTCGCGCTCTCCAGCACTACAGGTAGCGTAATAATACTTAAATCGAGTTCTCTACGACTGCTTATGATAGTTCCCTCATTTTAATAATCTGTTGCATTAACTTTGCTTTCCCTCTTACAACATTCAATCACATACACTCTCCAAAAGAAATTACCTGACTTAAAGGTATTTGAACCAGGGAGAGCAGGAAAGTCCTCATTATGAATTGAAAAATCCGGTGGAGGTTCAGCAGGTTTAGACACTACACCGTAACTTGGCCTATTGGGTAAGCTGCTAGGAGGTGCACTAACACCCCCTATACTGTCCAAACGTGGCACACCCTCCACACGGCTGAGACTCTCCAATCGGCTTCTGTTTGCTAGTGCCGGGAACTCTGACAGGTCTAACCCACCCGAACCACCTGGTGTCGCGTCGGCGAGTCCTGTGGATGATGTAACTAACACGTGAGACAAGTGTTCTCTCTTGCACAAGTAACAGTTTTCTTTAGAGAATTCCTCTTGTGCAGTGACACAAAGTGAAAGCAAAGTATCTCGTCCAAAATGACAGAACAATTACCAATGACCCCAAACAAAGCTTCATCCTCGAAAGTTTGATCCACAGTGCAGTATTTTTGACAAAATAGCTAGCGGTCACTATTAGAATTATGTGACAGAAAAAAAACAATCAAACAAACAAACAAAAACCTAATTTGTAAAAAACCTACAAAGTTGTTTTACAAGATTTACCTTGACCAGCTCCTGAGAATATGTGCCGAAGAGATTTTGGTGAATCAGGTGCACCTATGATGCAAGAGAAAGGGAAGAAGGAAAGATTTCAGTCTTCATTCAACAATACTAGAAGAATACAGGTAGCAAAACTGACATTAAGGTGAATTAGTGGTAATAATAGATGACATCTTCCTAATTCTAACCTTGCTTTAATGTTCCATTACAATACAGCAATTGGAAAGACAAGTAAAATCTATCATTAAAGACAAGTAAAAACTATCATAAAAGAGGGGTTGTATTCCCTCTAAATCCTTGCAAATGTACCTATTAGGGAGAGGTTTCCTCCAATAGTTTTTGCTGAAGATAATCCTGTAATGTACAATCTCCAGCATGTACAGTGTAAATGTGATTTTGAGTACGAGAAAGATGGTCCGGCTTAAATGAATACATAGAGGTCTGGTAATGACTATTCCCAGGAGTTACCATGTTTCCCTTGAGTAAAGTTGATTACATATTCAAATAAAAGTGTCAAGTTTCTACTTAGAAACCGTGGTACTGTGTTGGTGGGGTATTGCAAGATAATTCACTCTGACAAAGGGCTAATGCTCAAAATGTCAGTTTTAGAAACTATCTATGGCAACCAATTTACATCATCAACTCAGTTGATAAAACCAGAGTACCTGATTTTAAGTATTCTGAAATTAAGCCCGTTGGAGTTAAAAAAAGGTAGATACTAACAGAAAATACTTTCCCAATTATGATAATAATAAGAAGATCTTACCAGGAGGTTGAAATGCCCCTGAAAAAAGAGGAAGTCCAGAACCACCCATACCCTGCAAGAGGAAGAGAAGGAAAAAAAGATTACACAGATATTACACTTGTACAGCTTAAATAACTGACCTGGAATATTTATTAATATCCCTTTACAACTGAATCTGAGCTCATGGCAACATGCTTTTTCACTATGAGAGAGTATACCCTTTCTAAAATACAATAAAATATTCTCTTAAAATATTCTCAATCTACACGTACTGCAAAAATTGCAAGCCTTTTTTTCAATATCTTTTTACAAGGAATAGGTAATTGTTACTTTCCTAAGATACAAGTATATTACATGCATTCCAATACTAGAAAAATCAAGTTAAACTATTAAACTACAACAAACTGGATCTACATCAATTAAAAATTGACTTGGGACCAGAAAAATTTTAAAAATCCAAAGGGTTGGAGGAAAGTCTTGGAGGTCAAGTGGCCCATAACTGCTACCACCCATCTCCAGTTCCTGGAGCATCAAGTGACTAGGGGCATGTGCTCAGGTCAGCTTACCTTCCTATGGTGGAACGCTTGTCCATCACAGGAGACACCCCTTTATTTTGTTAAATTTCTCAAACAGCTTGCTGTCTTTTGATTGACATATCCTCAATAGATGCACTCATATACATACAGTACCTGTGTCACTCCACTAGTTGATTGGCTTCTTGTGAGACCAAAACTGGACATGGGACCAGAAACAGAGCTGCTAGCACCACTACTGATACTATTAATGAACACAACATCAATAATTAGTGGAAAGGCATAAGTAATGGATTTTATATAGAGGGAGGCAAACACTGATCTATTTCTAAATTATAGATTACAAGAAATGTTGATCTCACAAATTCACTTACACATGTAGGTGGTTGCCAGAGTGGCTGACTTCAAGCTGTAAGAAGCCCCTGACCTTAGCATTTTACTAAAAGTACCCTGAAGCTGATCTTATCTTTTAATGAACCACAAAATCTTATTTTATCAACAATACATGTATGTAAAGAATTATCCAATCACAAAAACATAAGAAAATAGGTGTTCTACAATTGGGAATACACAAACCAAAAGAATTAAGCATGCAAAAAGATTTGTCTCATCACAGGTTGACTAAAGGTCAGAGAGGTGAATGTCTTACTAAGAGTAATGAAATGATGGGTCATGCTTTTACAAAAACTTGGAATACAGAGGTATGAGAAAATCATCAATAAGAATTCTGACCAAGCTTCATCTTGTGAAGACAGGTAGGATGGTAAAAAGACCCTTTGAAAGTTATTTTAAAGAGCCACTGTGCATTTTCTTTTTTCTTTTAACTTTAAACTGCTACAACTGTGAATAAAGTTTCGTCACCACATACCCCCCAAGGTTAAAGCCTCTCTGTTGATGTGTTTGTTGAGGTGTCTGGGGTGCATTCATTCCAATTGCTAGTACTGGTGAACTTCTTGAGGAGCTGCTATAGGTCATGAAGGGTATAAATAAGGGAACAGGATGAATATCAGTGAATACATTACTAAAACCAAGCAATTTCAATTGAGCAATGAAAGTAATCCACTATTACACTGCTTTCCCTCAATGTACATTGCAATTTTTTCTAGAAAGTTGAGGAGCCTCTCCAGCCAAACAAATTTAAAACTACTTGAAAATGTAACATGGTCTGTCATATTTTCCCACTTTACTGCCAGCTTACAAGTATTTCTTCAGGGTTCCCATTGGTTCCTTGCAATATTTATCTTTTTCTACTTGGCTGAAAACATTATTTAACTTGAACTGGTTTTCTGACATTCACCCCAAAAGAAGTTGAAGTTCATCAGGGTTTAAACTCCAGAGAAAAAAAATGAATGAAAAAAATTAGTATATTTTTAATGGGTTTTAAAGGATAGAAAAATTCTTGAGCTTGCTCCTTTGTATTTTACAGTAAAAAACCCAATAAAAGGAGTA